GTTATCATGGTGGAAAATTCAATCTTTGTTCTTCCACAAAATCCATGCGTTTTTGGCGGATATCTTTGCGCAAATTGAGCATAACTTGTAGGTAATACTCCTTATTGAACGTTCTACCCTGTGGTAAGAACTCATGACTCACGACGGCCCTGCAATCGAAGAAAACCTTCAAATTCGACCTATGTTGGCGCGCTTTTTTCAATCTTAGCTCGTGCAGCAGCTTCCATTGAGATGATTGAGCTTTGATTTTCACGTCATAACCATAAACCCATGATTCCACACCAGTTATGACCCTCTGAGTCAAATTTGGGTCATCGCGGACAGAGTCCAACAGCCCCTTAGCAATGTTAATGCGATGCTGTTTTTGGTGGAAATTGAGTAATTTTGGTACGAATTTCGTAGCGACTCGTCTCATGCCCAAATCACTTGTAAAAATCGAATGGCAGGAGCCAATCGATATGTTTAGGTCCTCGGCAACTCTAACGGTGATTCGACGATTGACCAATACTACTATATTTTCTTCGGTAAAACATCCGTTCATCAATGTTTTCGTCTGTTGTTGACGAGCTCGGACGACACGCTCTTTGTCGTTCACTCGACCCTCTGAGAACATTTTGTGCCACCGATAATCGTTGCTTCGGTCAAAGGTAGCTTCATCATATGTCACAATTATTATTCGGAATGCATCCGCGCACTTAATTTTATTTTTCACACAAAATTTGATAAAGATTCATTGATCCATTTTTTGGAATAGGCAAAAATCGAAGACGAAAACCAGACCAAACGAAAGGAAAGGAAAACGAATCAAACCACGTGCAAGTAGCTGTCAAAAATTAACTGAACGTTCAACATGGCCAAACTTGTCGGTATAAGTGAGAGACATGAGTACCAACATAACGCCACCAAAAATCGAAAATCGAATATACGTAACCCACGGAAATTCAAAATTCGTAATACTTCTTGAACAGACCTCATACATTAATTCTCGTAAATATGTACTCGAAAGCAACACAAAACAAGTAACATTTAACGCAAAAGGTCTTTTAAAACAGTTACCTGTAAAAATCCACAGATGGCGTCTACAGTCAGTTACTTAGTAAAAAAATTGTTAATTTTTAATGTAACATTGCTACATTTGGTCTACAGTTATGAAGGTCATGGATCTTGAAAGCAATACAACACAATACAATCGAAACATTTAGGTCAAAAAGTGAGAATATTGTTTTTTTAATTTTTCACTACTAAAATTCAGATTTTTGCGAAGATATTTGTAAAAGGAAAACCGAAGTAAATTTTCTCGGAAATGACGCAATTCCGACCCTCAAGTGAGGTCAATCATTCTAAATTAGTGATAGTTTCATCTCCCGTAAGAAATTCTAGCAATTTCCAGTCACCCTATATTTCTTATATTTCTAAGTGATTAAGTTTTTAATTAAATCGCTGGCCTAACCAGAAATGTGTAAACTTCTTCGGGAATGTGCACCGCATGTGGTGGTGGTTGCAGAAAATAAAATTAAAAATTGAAGTGATGAAGTCGGTTTCTTAAATAAAGACTTTAGATTTTTACAATTTACACCAACATAAAGCGTTGGATTTAAATTCAATAGTCCTTTATCGTTGGAATCGATGACTAACTTAGTTAGTTTTAAAATATGCCGAATTTAAGCAAAGTAATCGCGAGTATTCGCAGTAGTTTTGAGCACAACTACCACAAGTTGTATATTTTTTACCCCGGTTTCCACGCCTAGCTGACTATTTTTCGGTTTAAAAGAATATATTCAGCGAATCATAAGACTGCAAAAACGTAAACTGGTACGAACCGCGAGTTTTTAGAGCAGTTCTGAATTGAACCATTCTCGAGTATTTCACAACCCCGAAATTCTCTATCCCTTCTATAAGTCCGAGTTGCTAGCAATTTTTCTACTGAAAATGGAGTTACTAACTTAAAAATCAGGACCTCTTACGAATTGCAAAGTAAAAGCAGTCCTATCTAGATCTATCGTCATCTGAGTATTTTACACTCCCGGAACTTTTCCACCCCTAGAACTCCGGAGTCCTGACCACTTTGGCTTGCAACTCGTCAAATATCTCATTGTGGGTTGAAAAATCGCAAAAAATCAGAGTTGTAGAGTATAGATTCTTAGTGTTAAGGAACCTTATTTGTGATATGCCGACGCAGGGACTTTATGGCATAAACATTTGTCATATTTTATTATACCTTTAGTGTAAAGCTTATTGTTATTGAACTTAAATATATTTCCGAAATCTACGGTCACGTAGGCAAATTCGCAGAAGCACAAATGAGGGTTTATCCCATGGTTAATATATTGTGCATTGGTATTACTGTCAATAACCTCGTTATTGGGAGGGATAATTTGTCGATTTCGGAATCTAGTGTACAAAATTTTAAGTTTGATAGAAGTACAAAGTCGAACTTTTACT